CTCTCTTAATTTGGTAAACACATGAATCGTTTCCCTGAGAAAAGCGATCATGCAAATCTGCCCACACATCTGCTGCTGATGTGTAGTAAGAAACACTGCTTGCGATGTCTTCATGCACAGAGTTCAGAATCCATGCAAGGACCATGTCGTTGCATCGTTGCCACAATGCAAATTGCTTGTCTGTTTCAGCAGGAGGGTCAATGGTTCCATCGACCAAGCCCAGTTTGTTCTTCGCGCTTAGACTGATGTGTATAGCACGGCACCATGTGCTGTAGTTGTCACCTTGAAGGGTTTTAGAGACCAAAATATTCCCAGGTTGATCAGAGGGATGTAGGAAGAACGGATTCGAGACGTCAGTAGCCATCTCTGTTGGTTTTGGATTGTCTGCCGGTTCACTCATGGTGATACCGTCTGTTTGATGTGTGCGGAAGCGTTCGATATTCAGAGTCACCAGAAACGGTGCGCTGATACCATGTTAAAATTATAAAGCTGCTAGGGTTTTGGTTCTTTGGGTTTCAGAACAAGCAAGTAGATAATAATAATGGTAGTTTATTCACATTCAAGTTCTACCTTACATGGACTACGTAATTCATACTATGATACAAGAGACTATTCTAGGAAGTCAACTATGAATGATTTACAAATATCAATCTACTCCTATAATCAAGGAAAGCAGCAATCTTAGGATGCTCCAAGATATTGTCGTTTAATAATGAATGCTTAATACTTGATCTCTGTAGGGGCAATTGTCAGAGTTCCCACCAGATATGTGGTGACTTTTGGGACCTCCAGCGGCTATATTATTGCGGGCGCATCCAAACCTTGTTTGTCTTCTTTTGCTCTCGAAACTGAAGCCAAGGCCTCTGCTTGCTGTCCTTTCAGCGATCGATAACAATTTCCAAGATGCGGCCTGTGAATCGGATTCGCAGGAGCTCATTAGAGGCATCAAGGGTGACTTCAAAAAGGGAAATTGGACCATCTTTCCCCTATTAATCGAAATTCGGAATCCCACTCATCGCTTTCATTCGATTAGCTGGCGGTGGATTCCTCGTCAAGCGAGTTTTGCAACCAATTGGGTTGCTTGGCATTGTAAAAGAGGGATGCGTTCAGATGTTTCGATCGTAAGGCCCCGTCCTCTCTAGTCCCAAAGATGGTCTCCCCTGCCCCTCTTAAGCTATGTGTACTTGAGATGGGTGAGGATAGTAGATTGGACCATTGCCCCGCTTTCGCGTTGTGCTCTGCTGTTTCTCCCCCGTCTTGGCTTCTGGGCGAGACCCTTTTTCCTCCCTTTTTCTAATTTTTGTATGCCGCTCTGTTTTGTTTCTTTGGTACTTTCCTTTTTCGGATGGTTGTTCTCTCTCCTGGGCTTTGTCCCTCCTGAAGATTCCCCTTTGGCCTAACAAAAAAAGATGGTAAAAGTTAAATTCATTAGTCTCACACGTGAGTCTTCATCGATATATCCGTTTGTATTTCTACAACTTTACATATCTGTATTTTGACCATACTGATATTTTAAACATTGATTGAATCCACTAACGGCTAACAGGCCCCAGTACACGTCAGTTAACAAATACACTTTTTATAATGAAAGAATTTCCATTGATTTTTTTTAGACGAAATTTCTATTGATTTTCAAGTCATGTCTTTATCAATTCTAATTGGATGATATTCAACTCAAATATTGTAAAAAAAAAAAAAAAAAAAAAAAATTGAAACTTGATCTTTTTATCTATAAATAAATTTTAAAGTAGACTAAAACGTAGAAATTTTGGATTTTGGGTCAAGCGATCACATAATTTTGGATTTTGGATTTAATATCTTAGTAAATAGAGTGTAGAGTTTCTACTCATAATAACAATTTATTTTAACAAAAAAAAAATATGTGACAATTTATATTTTAAATAAATATACTAATTTATTAAGCTAAGAACTTAATTTGAATTGTTCCATTTTATCCGTTTTAATCAGGTTTTTTTTAATTAAGAAGGGATTTTATTTTTCACTGTTAATTCAATGTTTTTACTTTTTATTCGCGCAACAGGCATGTGGTTTATTTTTTTTACCAACTCCGGTTTCGGGGGTGAGAAATCCTATACAACTGAAGGTTGCATGATGGGCAAGTTGAATCTCATTTCTATACAACTTTGGGTTGTGTGATGAGTTTGTAATAATTTAATATTATTAAAAATTCTAAAATAAATCATGATTTTTTTTTTCCGAAAGAATTAGAGTTGCCCGTGTAGCTCAAGCAGGAGTTTATTAAAAGGGTGTGATATTCACACATCCTATTTACTTTTCATACACCCTTCTAATTTTCGACCGTCAAATTAAATGAATTGAAGAAAATCAACTGATATAAATTAATAAGGGATGTATAAGAAGTAAAATACAGTGTGTGGATAGCACATTGATTATACAAAGAGAAATAACAGATGGAAGCGACAATATGAGAATAGTGAGTGGACTCACGCTTTGTTGAGTGTTCACAAAAATATCTAACTATACTATAGTGCTCAGCTAACGTGGAATAATATGACTGGCTTTTCGATACGTGAAACATGAGCTAAAGAAACCTCCTAAGTCCACGGCCAAGTGATCAAGTATAGTCATAATTAGTTTTATTTGGCTAACCCAGCATAAGAAGGAAATTCAAACACGAAAATTTTAATGTGTTTCTAGATCATTAATATATGAATGAGAGATGGTAGTTAGCAAATGTGCTAGTGGTGGTGGTCCTAAAGACAAGGATAATGGTAAGAAGCAGCAAAGGCGATAGTGGGTAGCAGTGGTGATAATGGTAATGTGATGACGGTAGCAGTGATGATGTTGTGTGGTGGTGGAGGGTATGATGAGTGAGTGGTGGTGTTGATGGTAATGATGTTGTATGGTGGCGGCAAAAATGATAGTGATGATGGTGGGAGGTGGTTGCGGCAACGGCGGTGGGATGATGATCGGTTGTGGTGATGAGAGATGTTGAGAATGTATGAAATGACTGATTTGGGACTTTTATATCATTTTCTTGGTATGGCTGTGATACAAATTGAAAACAACATTTTCATAAGTCAAAAGAAGTATGCATTGACTCTATTGAATAAGTTTGGATTACAACAATGCAAGCCCTTGAGTATCCCTTTGGTGACAAGTGATAAATTATGCATAGATAATGACAGTGACCCTACAGATGAGAATCAATATAGGCAAATTGTGGGAAATCTGTTGAACCTAATTGCTACAAGGCTAGACATAATATTTGCAGCTAGCTTACTAATGAGATTCATGCATTGCCCATCTAAGAAACATTATGGGATAGCCAAAAAAGTCTTGAGGTATATACAAGGTACAATTGATTATGGTATTGAATATCAAAAAGGAAATGAGGTAGTGTTGATAGTGTACAGTGATAGTGATTGGATTGGGAACCAAGATGACATGAAAAACACCTCTGGCTATGCTTTCTCCTTTGGTAGTGGTGTCTTTTCTTGCGCATCAATCAAGCAACATAGTGTAGCCCTTTCCACAATAGAAGCTGAGTATGTCAGTGCAAGTGAGGCAACTACTCAAGCTATATGGTTGAGGTTTGTGCTCAAAGACTTTGGAGAATTGCAAACAGAAGCTGGACCATTGATGGTAGATAATACTTATGCCATTGCAATCACAAAAAAAAATCCAGTGTTTCACCAAAAGACTAAGCACATCAATTGCAGGTATCATTTTATTCGTGAAGCTTTGCAAGATGGTGTTATTGATCAAAGATACTGCAAGTCTGAGCAGCAAGTAGTTGATATATTCACAAAGGCACTACCAAAAGATCGATTCAATTATTTGAGAGGGCTGCTGGGAGTTAAACCAATTAACAATTTAGAAGGGAATGTTGAAATGCAAATTCTTCACTGGTTTAATTTAAGGAAGTTTTAACGAAACACTCCCGATACTGTTTAGTTTTAATGAAAATAAAAAGTCACTCTTGGTACTATTCACTTACAACACCTTTTTGTCATTTTAATTAAAACTCAAAGTTTTAAAGTTATTTTCATTAGTTTTTCTTTAATTTAATTCATAGCAACCATGTTTTGCTTCAATTAAGTTTGCCAAGTGTAAGGTCCTGATTTAATCTTTGTTTGTAGGACTTATATGTCTCAGATTAGGACAAGTGTCATGCTAATATTGCTGACTCAAATGTAAGGCTGTGATGCCATCCAAATACATGTAAATGGAAATATTTCCGTTGGGAATGTATGAATATGTGTGCACTGCCATGATTTGTGCAGCAACGAACTTCTCTCTCTAAAAACTCCATTTCCCTCTCTTTCTAGAAATCTAGCTTTCTCTGAGATTGTTCATGTCTGTGATTGCTTATTTTCCTGTGAAATTACAATTTCTGATATGAATTCTAACAACAACCAATTGCGCACTTACCAAAACACCGTGCCTCTTTCTATTGTTATTGTACGGGAAAATCTGGCGGAGGAGCCCGAAGTTACAAGAGGGAAGTGATTCAGAATTATGCCAAGGGCTTTCCTCCTATATATCTAGACGTTTTGCAGCACTCAGATCTTTCAACATTGACATGGGCTCCACTAATGTTCAGGTACCCGTGGCAGGTAGTATTGGGGAATCTAGGCAAGCAAAACATCACGGTGGCTGGAGACGCCATGCTTTCCATGACACCTGATTTAGGACGAGGAGGTTGCTAGGCATCGGAAGATGCAGTGGTATTAGGCAGATACATGGGGACATCCTTCATACAAAATGGAAGACTTGTGCCAAAAGAGATGGACAATGTGATTGGAAAATGCGTTGAAGAAAGAAGGTGGCATTTCACCTTCTCAATTGCAGGATCATATTTAGCATGACGGGCCAGCAGGCAGGGTCCGGAAGGGGTATGAAGTTCTTAAGGGATGCCGTAATATACAGGTTCATTTACATTAAAATTCTAAAATTTACGCGTTATGATTGTGGAAACTTGATTTCTAGCTGGTGTATTTCATTTTCCGCAAGAATGAAGAGGATCCAAGTCATAAATTTATAATGTTACAGAGTATTTTGAACAATAGTTGATAAATTGACAGCGAAGATGTAATCTGAGATGCATAGCTTAATAACAGTACAAACCAATTTTAAAACAAAATAAAAAAAAAGGAGCCTTAACGAGCCTCCAAATGCGTAATGGATACTTCGTTGGTAGAAGATGTTTGGTTATTTGAAGACAGACCTGCTTCATATGATTCATTTTCGATAAAGAAACCAGGCTGTTTAGGCTGAGCCAATGCACCATCACTTCCCAACATTATAACTACAGATGCCATGCTTGGCCTATCCTCAGGTTCATGCTGCACGCATAAGAGACTAACATGGACGCAACGTAACATTTCCGATAGAGAAAGCGAATTTCGTAAACCTGTGTCAATCACTTCCAAAGGCCTTCCTTCGTTCCATAATCGCCATGCCTGAAAAACGTCAAAGCTCCTTCCTTAAGTACACATTTAATGGGCTCTAATATGTAAGAAAAAGTAATTTTACTCCTGATACTTGCATGTCCAATAAGGTTATGGCTGTTTTTATTGTAGAATCCCTTGTTTTTCGTTCCGCTAATGATCTCTAGCACCAGTATACCGAAGCTAAAGACATCGGATTTCACAGAAAATTGTCCATCAACGGCATATTCAGGTGCCATGTAACCGCTGTAGAAAGTAGAAACATCATTAGAAGTGAGAACAAAATAAACCTTGGTGAGTCCATGAGGGTAATACAAACTTACTATGTTCCAACCACTCTGTTTGTATTTCCACCAGCCTGATCTCCTCCAACTAATATTCTAGCCAAGCCAAAGTCTGAAATTTTCGGATTCATCTCATTATCAAGCAATACATTACTTGCTTTGAGATCTCGATGAATAATCCTTAGCCTGGAATCTTGATGGAGGTAGAGGAGACCGCGAGCAATTCCGCAAATAATGTGGAAACGTTTAGGCCAATCTATGAGTAGTTCTTCTCTGGTTCTATCTGTCAAGTTCAAAAAAAATCCAACTTCAGTGCCCTATACGAATGCAGTTAGTTCTAACTAAATTTATAGGGTTCCAAAGGTCCAAACCGAAAATTGAGGAGTCTAGGCTTCCATTGGGCATGTATTCATAAATCAGCATTTTCTCCTCTCCATGAATACAACCACCAAGAAGCTTTACCAGATTTCGGTGCTGAAGTTTGGCAATCAGTACGACTTCATTCATGAACTCATCCAATCCTTGACCAGAACTTCTAGAAAGCCTCTTCACTGCGATTTCTTGTCCATCTGCTAGTGTTCCCTGAAAATTAACACTGCATCAAATATTGCAAAATTCACTATAGTGATTCCTTGTTATCCTGAGCCTTGCTGTAAAGAAAGTTACAAATTTACCCTGTAAACAGGTCCAAAGCCACCTTCTCCTAGCTTGTTTTCAGTTGAAAAGTTTTCTGTTGCACTAGCTATTTCATTCCAGTTGAAGAGTGGGAACTCTAGGTTCTCTTTTCCTTCCACTTCATTGCTCTGATCTCTTTCTTCTAATTCTGTTTTTTCTGTTGTGATATACTTCATGTAAGCAAAATGAAAAATATATATGAAGATGCAATAAATATTAGTTCAATCAATTTAAATAGGAACAAATTTTTCATCTCTTTCTCTCAGATGCTCATATCAAGTATACAATAAACTAAAACCAGAAAGTGTTAAGCAAGGATGGTCGGATTAGTTTACTAACCTCTTAGGTTTTTCCTCCTTCGCCAAATGTATCCAACCAACAGAATTCCTGAAAACACTACTGTGATTGCAACTACAACTATCAATGGTGTCTTCCATTTACCATCATTTCCTTCTTCATGGTTGCCGGATGAAGTACCTGAGAAGGAAGGTGAACTACCATTTAACTCTGTAGAAGCAAATGTAAATCTTCCCTAAACGCAACGGAAAAGTAAGTGAACTACATGGCAGATAAATGCATTTAACAAGCAACTATTGTTACTTTTTACCAAAAGCTAATTCTGACGCTGACAATCGAACATATAGATCCGGCCCAGCAGTCACAAGCTCCCTGATATCTAGTAGATCACCAAACCAAATGGCGCAGCCAGTACCTCCGCTCATATCCGAGCTCGTATAAGCCGTACAAGAACAGTTGCCCAAGCATTTTGCTCTGCATTCGTTGAGATTCATACTTCGGTTCACCCAAGAGTGCGTAGTATCGGGCAACTTTAGGCTAGTGAAATTAAGAAAACCATCCTTATCCTTTTCTTGGCAGCTTAAAGGTTTGTTGCGCACACATCCAAGAGACCAGTCGGTCAAGTTCCCTTTTCCTTGAGACTTAGGCCTAAATCCTTTCAGACATTGGCAGACCTGATTATTGTCAAAAGTGCATTTTCCATTGGCTCCACAGAGGTGATACTGATCGCACTGCTCCCTAGGCCTCGACGAAAACTCCCCCCAACGTGGATCTATGTCATCCCAATAATAGCGAGCACATTTACCGACGGTTTGGTTCAAAACTATTCTTGAGATGATCTGAACTTTATGTTTGTATGTGTAGTACACTTCATCGTCAGTGTACACAAAGTTGAAAGCGAAACGGGAACTAGGCTTTTCTGGTGCACCACAGAATGTCAGGTTATTCCATAGGCTACTACGGTAGAACCTTGCAGTTCCATTCCGAATAAATGCTTGCGGGTATGCTTCAAGTTCCATTTCAATCCCATAAGTGACGTTACCTGGACACGGGTCTTCTGCATTTTTCCATGCTGACAAACGCCGTTTTAGACCGGTCCTCAAGTCCCATCCCAACTTCATTCCTGGTAACAGTGTATCGGACGGATAATCGAAGCTTTGCCACAAGTAGGCTCCTGAATTTCCATCTTTCACATCTCTTACCACCAAATTTCCAGAATCTAATAGCTGCACCGTTGCACTTTGGGCGCGTTTAACTATGTTCGTCGACCAAACAACACTCTTATTCTGACCAAACAACACAAGATTGCCGGTTATGTCTAACATTAATGTGCCGGACGAGTCGTTGATTGGTTTACATCTGTTTGCAACCCAAACAACAGCTCTTACCGGGACATTCTTGATCCAAATTCCCAAGTAAGTATTCCTGGAACTACCTGGACTGAAGAAACCAAGCTCAAAGCTTCCATCGTTTGAAACCAAGGTCGTTCCATTACGGATAGACTGCGATGGACCGATGCTGTCAACTGCAAGGGAAATTGTGGACAGCAGAAAGAGGAAATTAGTGCCGATGAGCAGAAAACCGCAACCCCCCATTGAATTCTTTTGGTTCTTTGAGCTCTCTCCCTTAATGGTAATGGCGTCGCTCAAGTTAAAGATATAATCAAGAAGAGAACACCATTGTGGATCAGTCGTTTTTCATCCCACCTCAGACAGGCAAATAATCGTGCAGAAGTCAGAACATGGTTGGCCCCGTCAAAACTAGATTTTTTTAATTTTTAATTTTTATGTCGCTTTCTGCTTCATCTATATTAATGTTAATTGATGGACGCGTCAATTCGTGAGACCCTACCAGTAGCAAACTGCTGCAAGGATTTAATTACGATCTCGTTGTACTTTAAAATATTAATCTCATATATTTACTACTATTTCATTTGGATTTTATGCAACCCTTACTTAATCGGTTAAATTGACTGTTAAGAGTGATGTGACAAATATACGATCCATTTTTTTGATCGGCAAATAAAAAATAATTGAATATTTAAAAATTAATTTATAAATAAACCTAAATTAAAATAAAGTGGACCTCACCCAGAAATTTGTTCTTGTGTCATCGTTCATCCAACACTGCCATCGCCGATTGGAGCCTCGGCGACTTCACACCATTGTTACCATCACTCCTCAACGGCGAGTAATTCGCCTTTTTCTTCTCGATTCTAACCCCCTTAGCACCGCCGTCGTCGCAAATTGGAGCCTTGCAACCGCCCTCCTCATCCTCAAATCCACGGCCTCGCCACGGCGGCTCCGGCGATGTGACCTATGGCGCATTCAGCTGCATAGCCGTTTGACGGCGGAGCTCGTCGAGATCAGTGGGAACAGAGGGAAAGGTGAACTTATAGATGATGGTAGGTGGGTGGGGATTGGATGTCCCGCTGCGATGCCCGATCCAAGAAGTTTTTGGTTCAAACTCTCGCTGAATCAGGTCGCAACTGGAATTACCCGATGACACCAACTCCCGCCGGCCACCATTCTTCCAGATCCACCCGCCAGCTTCGTCGAGCCACCCTTCCTCGTTAATACTTCGACTCCTCCCACCCCCGTCTATCTGTGACCCCACCCATCCTCGTTAGAAATCAAACAGCTAAAATCACTTTTCTCCCAACTAACGTAAACCCTCGCCTTCGCCCTGCTAGCTACCACAAACACTGCTCTCACAAATTAGTGAAATCACAACCGCCGTTGATTGAAAAATTCCATGGCTTTCTGAAGCAAATAAAACTTGGGTTGCAGAGAGAGAACCCCAAAAAAATCCCAATTCAACGAAATGGTTGTCCTGGAGACGAAATCTCAAATCCCCATTTGTGGGAAATTAAGAGGCTTGGGTTGTGGGTTTGCAATGATGCACAACTATTGGCTGAAGAATGGATTATTGGTTGTTACAGTGTTGGTGGTTGGAGAAAAAAATAGAGGAATGTGGGGGTGGGGTGGGGCGGGGCGGAGTTACCTTTCTGTCTTCGACACCCACATGGTGGTCATGGTAGGGAAGAAGTTCAATGTTGGCGAGGTAGCAGGGAGGAAGAACCGCGAGATTTAGGTCGTCGGAGATTGGGCTCGACGTCGTGGTCACGGCAGCAGCCATGGTCTGCGTTTTCCGGCGAGAACCAGCTGGATAGCTGGGTACCAAGTTTGAAGGGGTGGTTTATATGGACTGGAATCACCTCCGCATCTCAGCGTCCGGAGCAAACTGAGCAAAACATTCCATCCCTCCATTTTTGATCCTGTGGCCAGAAAGTAATCAATATTGAAAAATTCTCGCGCAAAAGAAGGCAAGATGAAAATGGAAGGATGAGATGTTTTAGTCAGGTTGCTCCGTAGGCTGAGATGCAGAGGTGATCCCAGTCCGGTTTGTAATTTACTTTTTAGTCTACGTGGACGTATTTGACTGCCACATCAACAAGAATGTGACATCCACAGTTGGCACATCATCATTTAACGATCAAATTAACAATTAACGGATATATGAAATTAAAATGAAATAATAGTAAATGTATGGAATTGAAATGTTTTAAAAATATTGTATAAAATTACAATTGGATTTAAACCTGAAAAAGTCTACAATTTCCACGTTTATTTGACGTTTGAACGAGGATGGATGTAGCAGTGGTGCTGAGCAAAGACCGGGTCTTGCCTAGTTTGTGGATACTATGCATATTGGTCGCAAATACAGCAACATCGGCATGATCAACCATTGCACTGTTTTGTTAAAGACGACTTGCATACTAGTCAACGGAGGTTGGCCGTGCCCGCCTCCGGGAGAGAAACCACAAGGGGCTTCTCAATTATGTAACGAAGTCTTAGCAGTTGTCGCTATATGGTCTTCTAGCCCGATTATCAATCAAAAGAATCATTTCTAATCTTGTCTTTAACTTGTACAAAACTGACACTTGTAAATATGACCATACAGGACGCTAAGCAACATTTTAGTCACAAACGTGAAATTTCTTGTAATTAAATATCAAACTTGATTTCGAGTTAGTTCATTTCATTTCCGTAAGAAAGATGACAGTCTAAATTCTCTTAACAGAAATAAATTATTGGATCGCCTTCTAACAAGGATCGACGAGAGACAGTAATCTAAGAACAAAAAGACTTTATGGAGCCTACTAGCTACTACATACATTTATATTTTCACATAACTTTGCTGCTTTGTAGACAAGGCTTATTTTGAACAGTAGTTGATAGCTAAGCATATAGATGTAGTCTGAGGCGAACAGCTAAATAAGCAGTATGAACCAATTTTACAACGAATAAAACGATCTTTAACGAGCCTCCAAAAGCGTGATTGATAATTCGTTGGTAGAAGATGTTTGATTATCTGAACACGGACCTGCTTCATATGCTTTCTTTTCGATAAAGAAACCAGGTTGTTTAGGCTGAGCCAATGCACCAGCACTTCCCAACATTATAACCACAGATGCCATGCTAGGCCTATCCTCAGGTTCATGTTGAACACATAAGAGACTAACATGGATGCAACGTAACACTTCCGATAGAGAACTCGAATTTCCTAAACCTGTATCAATCACTTCCAAAGGCCTGCCTTCGTTCCATAATTGCCATGCCTGAAAAACATCAAAGCTCCTTCATCAATTACACATTTAATAGGGTCTAATATGTAAGACAAAGAAATTTTAAGCCTGATACTTGCATGCCCAATAAGGTTCTGGCTGTTTTTATTGTAGAATGCCTTGTTTTTCCTTCCACTAATGATCTCTAGCATCAATATACCGAAGCTAAAGACATCCGATTTCACAGAAAATAGTCCATCGACTGCATATTCAGGTGCCATGTAACCGCTGTAGAAAGTACAAACATCATATAGAAGTAAGAACAAAATAAACCATTGGTAAAAATTAGAAGTAGATCATAGAAACAGGGTAATACAAGCTTACTATGTTCCAACAACTTTCTTTGTATTTCCACCAGCCTGATCTCCTCCAACTAAGGTTCTAGCCAATCCAAAGTCTGAAATTTTTGGATTCATTTCATTATCAAGTAAAACATTACTTGCTTTGAGATCTCTATGAATAATCCTTAGCCTGGAATCTTGATGGAGGTAGAGCAGACCGCGAGCAATTCCGCAAATAATGTTGAAGCGCGTAGGCCAATCTAAGACTTGTTCTTCTCTGGTTTTATCTGGCAGTTTAACAAAAATCGAATTTTATTTCTATATAAAAAAAAAATGCTCCAAAATCTATTTATGAAATTATTCTAGAGCTATTAAAAATAATAGTTAATTCTGTCTAAACTTATAAGGTTCCGAAGATACAAACCAAAAATAAAGGAATCAAGGCCTCCGTTGGGCATGTATTCATAAATCAGCATTTTCTCCTCTCCTTGAACACAGCATCCAAGAAGCTTTACAAGATTTCGGTGCTGGAGCTTGGCAATCAGTATGACTTCATTCATGAACTCACTCGATCCTTGGCCAGAACTTGTCGAAAGCCTCTTCACAGCAATTTCCTGTCCATCTGCTAGCGTCCCCTGGAAATTCACCGTATTTCGAAATTGAGAAACTTGGAATGAAGTAATTCTTTGTTCATTTGGCCCTTACTATGAACAAAATTAAAAATTTACCTTGTAAACAGGTCCAAAGCCACCTTCTCCGAGCTTGTTATCACTTGAAAAGTTATCGGTGGCACTTGCTAATGTGGTCAGGTCAAAGACCGGAAGCTCCAGTTCCCCCTCTGGTTCCCCTTCATTGTTCCGATCCCTTTCTCTTATTTCTGTTTTCTCTCATATGGTAGAAATGGGATTAATTTTAGCTCAGCTATAGCATATAAGTATGTCTTATCAAACTAAAACTTACATATGCCGATGGAATATGTACTGGTTTAACCATATCTCTTCTAACCAAATTAAACTCATCCAATAAGAATCGAACATCGGTGAATATTTAGATATCCGCTCACAAGTAAGAGTAAGCAAACTGAAGCTCATACAGGCACTATGAAGATGAAATATTTACTAGTTTAACCATATCCCTTATACGCAAATGATACACCATAGAAATCTAACTTCCCTTCTTTCAAATACTCATCCAAGTAAAATCAAACAGCGTTCACAAATGATTTGCAAAGACGGTCAATGTACCTTTTAATTCTGTCTTTCTTCGGTGAAAGTAATAATAACATCCAAGTAACAGCATTCCAGAAAACACTACTCCTGCGAGAACTCCAACTATAATTGCTTTCTTCGCCTTGTCATCATTTTCTTCATCATGATTGTGAGATGCAATAAAGATAAATTAAAATTGCAGCCAATGAATTATTTAAACAAAAAAAAAGAAGATAAAAGTAACTCATGTTACAAAGTTTCTTACCTAACTCTGAAGCTGGCATTCGAACATGTATATCCTGTCCAGAAGCTGAAAACTGCCTGATATCTATTAGATCACCATACCAGATGGCGCAGCCAGTACCTCCTCTTATATCCGAGCTTGTATAAGCCATACAGGAACAGTTGTTCAAGCATTTCGCTCTGCACTCCTTCAGATTTATACTTTTGTTCACCCAAGAATGTGTAGTTTCTGGCAATTTCATGCCGGACAATTTGATAAACCCATCTTTATGTTTTTCCTGGCAACTCAGGGGCTTCTTGCGCTCACATCCTAGAGACCAGTCCATCAAGTTCCATCTTTCTTGAGACTTAGGCTTGAATCCTTTTAGACATTGGCAGACTGGATTCTCACCAATGAGACAATTTCCGTTGGCTCCACAGAGGCCATAATGATCACACATGTCCCTAGGTACCGTTGAATATGCCCTCCAAGTTTTTTCCGCTTCAATCCATGTTAAGCGATCACGCGTACTCGTGGTTTGGTTCATAACCAATCTTGAGATTACAGACTTATCTAGAAGGGTGTACATGTAGTACACTTCATCGTCATTATACACAAAGTTGAAACTATAAAGTGGATTAGGCATTAATTCTGGTGCACCACTAAATCTTAGGCCATTCCATGGGCCAGAACGATAGTATTTTACAGTGCCTTTAAGAAAATATGCCTCGGGGTATATGACGTTCCATCTCGAGCTGTCCTGAGTTTTTCCAAATGAAATCTCCCGGACATGGGTCTTCTGAGTTTTTCCATGCTGATAAATTACGATTTAGATCCGTCCTCGAGTCCCATCCCAACTTCATTCCTGGTAACAACGTATCAGATGGATAGTCAAAGCTTTGCCATAAATAGATTCCTGCCCCTGCATCTCTTAGCACCAAATTCCCGGAATCTAAGAGCTCTACCGTTGCACTTTTGGGCTCTTCAACTAAGCTCGTTGACCAAACTACACTCTTATTCTGACCCAACAGCACAAGATCCCCTTTCCCGTTTATCGTCAACATGCCGGAAGAATCATTAATGGGGTTGCATCTGTTTGCCACCCAAACAACAGTTTGGACCGGGATGTTCTTATACCAAATACCCAAGTAACGGTTCTTGGAACTACCCGGACTGAAGAAACCAAGCTCAAAGCTTCCACCTTTTGCAACCAAGGTCGTGCCATCACGAATAGACTGCGATGGACCAATGCTGTCAACTGCAAAGGAAATTGTGGACAGCAGAAGGAGCAAGTTAGTACAGATGAGCAGAAAACCAAAACCCCCCATTGAATTCCTTTGGTTTTTGAACTCAATGCCTAATGGTAATCGTATTCTTCAAGTCGAAGATATAATCAGAACAAAAAGACTGTTGTGATTCAGTCATTTTCCATCCAAATGCATACGACAAATAATTGTGGATATATTATTATGCTTAATTGCTTATCCTTCGCCAACATAGCAGAATCTGGAATGATCAACGGTTGCCCTGGATTTTATAAAGATGACGTGCCTACCAGTCAACAGAGGGTAGCCGTGCGCACTTTTGGCCTTCCAGAAGACTGAAGAGAGAAAACACTAGGGTCTTATTAACTACATATGTGTCAATTCGTCGCAGTTGTTGGTATATGGCCTTCTCCCAAATTATCAACCACAAGAATCCTTTTTAATCTTATCTTTGACTTGTATGAAACTGGTAGGCCGGGAACAAAACTTCCACGGGTCATGTTTGTTTTCTGCCTAATTAACACTGTACCAGGTTGATGTTTATTTTGTTCACAACATTACACCCTCGCAATCTATCGTTGATGGAACCACATTAGTTTCAAGTGATGGAGGAAGCTTTGAGCCATAAAAATTGGTAAAAATAAGTGTGTAAATAGTATAACCTTGTAATATTGGATTTGGATCCTCTCCTGAGTCAATGGAGAGGATCCTCCTAACCAACAATCGTGGGTCGTTTGATTTTCATTCAACGACTATAATTATTATAACTTTAAAGGGATCTCTTTGTTTGTAACCATTGGATAAAAATCCAACGACCCACGATAGTTGGTCAGGAGGATCCTCTCCATTGGCTTAGGAGAGGATCCAAATCCTATAATATTTAGTTCGCTGCCGCCTATTGCATGGATATTGTTGAAAATAGAATGCATAAAATGGGGTCCATGTGGTGCATTTATTAATTGATGTTTCACTTGTAAACTTGGTGGCAATTGGGTTTTGTTCCGCAATGAGTAATATATGTTTCCACAATGTTGTGCTCTCTCTTTTTGAACAAAGTTGAGGTTGGAATAGTCTATTACTTATAAGTATATGCAAGATCCGTTTTTTTCTTGATGTGAAATTTATAAAAAAAAAAAGATAAAGTATAAAAATATAAAACCAATTGGTTTCAACTGCTTGACGGATTGGGCCGTTTTAAGTGTCATATATTGTTCAACAAGCATTAGCCCACAAGGCCCTATTGCAAAACGTTGGAATATTAAGCATTTTTACACCAAATGATTCATAAATATATGCTTTCATATACCTTTGTCTGCTTTGTTCTCAAAATTTATTTTGAACAAATGTCTGATACGAATGCTTATAGATCTAGTCTACGATGAATAAAATGATCCCTATGGGGCCTCCAAAAGCAGGATCGACAATTCGTTGGTTGAAGCTGACTGTTTACCTGAATTAGGACATGCTTCATGTGATTCCTTTTCCATGAGGAAACTAGATTGTTTCGGCTGAGCCAAAGTAGTCTCACTTCCCAACTTTATAACCACAGACACTGTGCTTGGCCTATCGTCAGGATGATGTTGCGCACATAAGAGACCAATGTGGATGCAACGCAACACTTTCAATAGTGTGCCTGAGCTTCCTAAGCATGCATCAGTCAGTTCGAAAGAATTCCCTTCATTCCACAATCTCCATGCCCGAAACAAATCAAAATCCTTCGTCAATTACTGTTCCAATAAGAATGAAAAATTCATGATACTTACATATTGACGAGGACTAGTAGTTGGTCGGGGGAAATACTATACGGCAATATTACGTGCCAACTGCAAGAGAAATTGTCCCATGATAAATTTCTTTAACCATATAGCTTGATTAACTGTCTCATAGCATGACAAGTATTCAGCTACCATTGTTGAGGCTGCAAATATGTCTTGCTTGACACTCCTCCATGATACTGCTCCTCCTCCCATTGTAAAAACATAACCCAATGTTGACTTTAGGTCATCTGGACACCCAGCAAAATCAGCATCACTACCTCCAAAATCAATCTATTAGCCCTTTTATAAACCAACATGTGGTCCTTGGTTCTTTGGAGATATCTTAAAACTCTTTTTCCTACATTCCAATGTGCTTCACCTGCATTGGATTGAAAACTTCCATGGACACTAATTGTGAATGTAAGATTCGCCCTCGTACAAACTTGCGCAAATTAGACTCCCCATTAATGAAGCATATGGTATCTCCTTCATGTTATCCTTCTCTATAGCACTCTTGGGACATTGGCTTTTGTTTAACTTGTCACCCTTTGATATTGGCATCTCAGTGGTCCCACATGAAGTCATAATGAACCTCTTTAACACCTTTTTCTATATAACGCTTTTGAGACAGTCTCATCATTCCCCTTTCTCTATCTCTTTTGAGCTCAACCCCAAAAAATACGATGCTTTACCTAGATCCTTCATTTCAAAGTTACTTTGCAAGAAAGACTCGGTGTCATCCAAAAGACATGAGCAATTGGATGCTAGCAGTATATCATCCACATAAAGTATCATAAGTTGCTCCTATAGATTTTCAAATATGTACAAGCATCAGATGGATTTTCTGCGAAGCCATGTTCCTTGACAACACGATGAAACTTCAAGTACCATGCCTGTTTCAATCCATAAATGGATTTCTTAAACTTGCAAATCCTGTTTTCTCTCCCTTCCTCTTTTAATCCTTCTAGTTGCACCATGCAGATATCCTCTTCCAATTCACCATTCAAGGAAGTTGTCTTTACATCCATTTGATGTAAAAACAAGTTATTATTGCCATTACAACTCTGAAAGCATCCTTAGTAGATAGTTTCTTTATAATCAATTTCCTCTCTCTGAGTAAACCCCTTAGCCACCAATCTTGCCTTGTGTCTTTCTACATTACCCTTTAAGTTCCTTTTGGTTTTAAATACCCACTTAAAACCTATTAGTTTGACTTATTCACTTGGCTCTACAAGACTTCATACTTCATTTTACTCCAATGAAGAAAGCTCACTTTTCATAGCTTCCATCCACGTGTCTGCCTTTATTCTCGAAATAGCTTCTTTTTAGTTCTTTGGATCATCGAACTCTGACATATTGAATTCTATTTCTGCCATATACACAAAGTCACCTGAGTGTGTTGATTTTCTAACCCTAGTTGACTTTCTGCAAGGCACGAAATATTATTGACAGCTTTAGCTTCTTGGTGTCCTTGCTGATCATTCTCAACTACAACTGCTGCTTCAATATTTGATGTACCCACTCTTGGTTGTTACTCTCCATGGGTTGATGCTTTAGTTTCATTTTCTAAGTTCATGGCTCGATCATCATCAGTGTCACATTCTTTGCTTAGATCAGTGATCTCAACCACTGTTATTGTAGGCTGATGATGATACATTTCATTTTCTTCTCCATTCCCCATTTCTCCCTCTTCTTCAAAAACAAAATCATTAGTTCTAATACTTGAATCAGTATCCATCTGTAACTCCAAGAATAATGCCTTTCTAGTTTCAACAATCTTCATGTTGTGATTAGGGCAATGGAATCGAAACTCGTTAGATCTCTCAGCATATCCCATGAAGTAACAAGAGTGTCTTGGGATCAAGTTTCTTGCCATTAGGGTTATAAATCTTGGCTTCGGCTTTTCATCCCCAAACATGTAAGCGATTTAGACTAGGTTTTTTACATGTATGTCGAAAGTTTGAAAAGGGTTTTTAGGTACTCGATTAACAATATAGTTGGTAGTTTTGATTGCCTCTCCCCATAGATATAATGGCAAATCAACCTTGCACATCATACTTCTAACCATGTCCATCATCGTCCTATTTCTTCTTTCTAAGACCTTATTTTGCTTAGGTGTCCCAAGGGTTGTGTACTGAGCTACAATGCCATGACTTTGAAGATACAATGCAAATGGTTTTGGTTGTCTGCCAGTTTCACTTTGCTTGCCATAATACTCGCCTCTTCTATCATACCTAACAACTTTGATCTTTCTTTCCAATTGGTTTTCAACTTCAATTTTAAAAAATTTTAAAACTTCAAAAGCTTTTGACTTCTTAGAGATCAAGTATATAAAACAAAACGAGAAAAATCATCTATAAAGGTTATAAAATACTTGTTCCCATCAATTGTTTTTGTAGGAAATGGACCACAAATGTATGTATGAATGATCTCCAGAAGTTGTTTGCTTTTGGTTGATCCTTCCTTTCTTGAATTAGTCATTTTCCCTTAATGCATTCTATGCAAATTTCGAAATCATTGAAGTTTAAGGGTGGTAAAATGTCATTTTTGATTAAAAGATCCATCCATGTTTTTGAAAAATGGCCAAGCCTTTTGTGCCAAAGGTGAGATGATTATAGGGGTTTTGAGGGATTCTTTTCAACATTAAAGACTACATTATCGACATTTAGTTTAAATTTAAAACATACCGTTACTCATAAAACCAGCGCCAATATGAGAAGAACTATAAAATATAAAAAATGTTGAAACCAATATTATTTAGTAAAATAATACCCTAACAAAACAAGTTTTGAAACTAAAACTAACTTCCTTTTTCATGAAAGGTACATAAGAAACATTTTCTAAATCCAAATTCTAACTTAAATCTAACAGTCCCGAAAGCTTTGACTTGAACCCTTCTTCCATTACCCACCGAGAATTTCACTTCATCTTTATTTGGTGTTCTCTTTATTGTGAAGCCCTGCAATGAATTCGTGACATGAATAGAAGAGCCATAGTCAAGCCACCATGCATTACTAGGTATGTTAACTGAATTAGACTCAAAATACACAAAAACTTTTTTACCTTTCTTTGTTTCTTGCTTGGCAGGCCAAGTTTTGTATTTTGGGCAACTATTTTCATGTGGCCTGCTTTCTCATAGGAAAAAAAGGGTAAATTACACAAAACTACCTTAACTATGGGTTAAACCATAATCTTATACCTCATGTTTTAAACATTGCAATGTTATACCTTAACTTATGAATTCGTTGCAATGTCAGATCTCTATTAAATTTTCTATCAATTTCGTTGTTAAGTGATGACGTGACAGGTACGGGGCCCACTTGACACACCTCGACCCAGAAAGTCCACTTGAACTCCAAATGGAGTTGCGTTGGCAGACACCAATA